TTATCTCTGCTTTCCCAGAGCAGCCGGTTTACTGGAACTGCATTCACTTATCAGGGAACAGGGGACCTTGCCGGGAAGATGGGCTTGAGGTGCGACAGCATCGAGTCCCTGCTGACACCAGGCCGTCCCATTCTCTGAGCTGCTTGGCGAGCCCAGAGCTTGAAGCTCCAGCTCCCTCTAGCCCCCGTGCTCCTGCTTGGCCCTGATAAACCTGGGAGCTTCTGGGGCATAAAGGTCTCTGCTTCATGTAACCTGCCCATGGACCCCTCCTTCCCTGTGGTGCATGTGGTCCAGGGACTAGAGCAGTTATCCTCACGGTGGTCCGAGGTCCCTGGATGCCTGGGACGCAGGAGGGGTGGTGTCGTGCCATGGGCCCAGGGGGCAGATGTGCTCTCTGGGAGCTTGTTCTGAGGAGCAGTTCAGCTCTGGTGGTCTCCTTTCTCTCTGCCCTCCATCTCCCCTAGTCCAGGCCACAGCCATCTGTCCCCAGCCCCATCACATACCTCCCTTGGAGGGAGAGGGGCTGTGGCCGTTTGCTGTTTAGTGGCTCTGTTGAAATCTGCCCTGCTCTTGCTGTAGGTGAAGGACTGGAGGCGGCTGGCTCGGACGAGCTGGGCCGGAGTGACTGCATTCCTGGCTGGGCCTCGTGCTTGGCCTGTTCTCCCGAAGCCAGGGGGAAGGCAAGAATTTCATGACCCAAAGTGTCTGCCTTCGCCACAGGGATTCGTGAAATCCGGATCATGCTGCAGAGTAACCTGGGATGGCCCGGACGTGGGAGTGCTTGTCTTGCTGGGATGTAGCAGTGGGGAGAAGGAGGTGGGAGTCTCCGCTTTAGACACAAAAGCGGTGGGGCGATGCGCAGTGTGGGCTCCTGCTGCAACCATGGGCACCAACCCTGCTTCTGCCCCCCCAGGCCTTGGCCGTGGAATAAAGCCCAGCATTTTCCTGCTGCAATGATTTCTATCACACTTCGATGCTAATTTTAGAGAGCCTAGAGCACGTGATGCATCTCCTTCCCTGCCCGTGTTGTATTCTCCTTGCAAATCCTTTCTGGCATCCACTTCTCTCATGACTGGTCCTGTGCTTCCCCCATCGCCCTCTGTGCATGATTCAGAGTGAGGAAGCACAAGGCGTCTGTCATCCGCCTGGTCCCCACCCCACTTTCCTGCCAGCAGGAGCCCTGCAGCCTCCCTGCCCCTTCCCGCAGGGGAGGAATGAGCCCCAGAAAGCAGCAGAGATGGTCTCTGTGCTGTGCTCCCACCCCTTTGCTCACTGGTCCTCTCTTCCCACAGGAGCGGTTTGTGGACCTCTACGGGAACGATGCTGCTGCCGAGGTGAGGAAGGGCCAGGAGACCTTCAACAAATGGCTTCTGACTGGGGCGACAGTGGCAGGAGTGCTTCTGCTGGGATCCCTGCTGAGCCGCAAGTGACCCGCCGCCGAGTCCCCCCATTGCCAGGATGGCTGCGCCTTCACCGCCACATCCACTACACTCCGCTCCCGAGCACCGTCACCGGCGCGGGGGGCAGCCCCTCCGCCTCCCGGGCGAGCGCCCTGCTCCACGGAACTTTCTCCCTCATGCCGCCAGCTCCTTTTATTGTAGCCCCTCTTACTTACCGTTCCGTTGTGTTTTAAAGGTGCTGAGACCAATGCAGCACTTCAGCCAAAAGCTCCCAGCACTGGGGGGATCCAGGCAGCTGGGGGGAGTACTGGCTAGAAGGTGTCCCAGCCCTGCAGGGTCCTCTAGATCACTTTGAAGGGAATAAACAAACTTATTTTTGCATGTGTGAGTGCGTGCGTGTGTGTAGATGTGTCACTAATATAAGGTTCCCCAGCCAGAGCAAGGGTTGAGGCTCCGTGCCCGTCCAGCATGCTCAGGCCCTGGGAAGGGTCAGGCTGCAGAACCGGACGGAGCTTTCCTGCAGCATCCCTATCCCATCCCTGCTTCCTCTGGGCAGAGCGCATCCCCGTGGTGGTGGGGAGCCAGGAGGAAGAGACAGAGGCTGGGAGCGAGGAGCTCTGTCCTCATGTCCTCCTCTGGGCCCGTTTCTCTCCGGACATCAGCTGCTGGGATGAGAGCGAGGATGGTGTGTCAGGCTGAGGGCTGCGCCTGGTTGGAAGCTATCCTCCTCCTCTTCCTCCTCCTCCCTCTGAATGTAGATTGCTGTGGGGCAACGTGTCCCTCCCCATGCCTGCTCCTCCCCAAGGCTGTCAAAGGAAGGAGGAAGGCGATGCGAGGAGAGTGCTTTCCCTGGCCCCTGCCCTGGCACAAAGGGGCTCTGCAGAGCGCTGGGGCCGTGGCATCCAGCAAGTGCAGGAATAGAGAGCTGGGGGGTGGAAGGGGTAGTGGGGAGCGATGCTCCTGCCCTTCACCGGGGTGACAGCAGGGGAAGGCAGAGCCCTGGCAGCAGCATCACCACAGCCCATCCATGGGGTGAGCGAGCCCAGGGAGGCTGAGAGCCGTCCCTGCTGCTGGGAAGCCTCTTTGGGGACAGTGGGAGCTGCTGTCCTCTCCTGCCCTGCCCTGGTTGCTGCTGGTCCCCAGAGCACAGGCAGGTCCCTGGCCCCGTGGCGTGGCTGTGACGGGTGTGTGCAGTAGCAGAGGTGCCTGGCTTTCCCTCCCCCTCGTGACCCCCGCGCTGCTCTTGCTACCACCGGGGCACGGGACCTCCGGGCTTTGGGCTGAAATTAGCTTCAAAAAATAACCCCCCGTCCTTTGGAGACCACCACCGGCAGACCCAGCTGTCCACGCGGGCTTGTCTGTGTACATACCGCCCGCGCTCTGCTGTACATATCCGAGTAGTTTTTAATTCATTTGTGAATACTCTTAATGCTATTTTTGTTATCTTGTCTGTCCGTATTTATGTGTGGGGCCGTGCTCCCTGCAGAGGCCAAGGTGGGATGGAGGCAGGGTGGGGGGTGGGGGAACCAGAGGCTCCTGGGGGTCCCGTCTGGCCGCTGAGCACGGACTCGCGCTCCCCACGTAGGATCCGCTCTCAGATCCAGCGCCTATGGCGCCGGGAGCGGATCCTACGTGGGGAGTGCGAGGATTAGCATTAGCCCGTCAAACGCTTCGGTTTGCAGGTGGAGGTGTCCACTAATAAAATTCTGTCATCGATGGTACTGTGGTCTTTGTGAACACGGGGAGGGGGGCGCAATTTGGGCTGTTTTGGGCAGGAGTTGCCTTCAGCGGGATGGAGGGAGGGAGGGAGGGGGGGATGAGTCCTCTCCCTGCCTGGGGAAGGGTTGGGGTGCTCTAGGCAGAGCGGGTGGTTGTTTTGTCCCAAGGGGGTGATGCCAGGCAGGGTTGGTGTGGGGAGGTGCTGCCTGCTTGGGCATGGTGGTGCGTGGGTGCCTGTCTCCGTCGCAGGAAGCATTGGGGCAGCCCCCAGCCAGTTCCTTTAACTTTTTA